ACCCTCTGGTTACCAGTTTTTAAAAAGCCTTTCCTCTTTGTGATAATCAAGCAAAATTCTGGTTGGTGCTCCTTTGCTTTTGAATTAAAAAATTATTTAACTTTATTATTATTTTCCAGTTCGATCAGAGAGAGAGAGAAAGACAGAGAGGGAAAGTGAGAAAGCAAGCTACCAGGTCCAGGACTTGAACCACGGGAGTCCAGCGCCTTTAACCACCATGCCACTTGCTGGCCCCACTTCTGAAGTTTTTCCCCAGTACTTTTCACAGTTCACACTCAGACATATCTCTCTTTTATTTTCCTTTTTGAGAGGCTTTTGCTTTAGGGTGCGTGCGCTATCCAGAGAGCGAGAAAGTGAGGATCCCCCCTTCCATGGCCATGCCACAATCCCTTCTCCTCTATTCTCCTCCCAGGGTCTTGGACATGCATGCACACATGTCTGGTGTGAGTTTCTTTTTTTTTTGGAGAGGTTTTTTCGCTATAGGGAGCATGTGCTCACCAGACAGACAGAGACAGAGAGACAGAAAGCGAGAAATCACCCCCCAGGGGGGATGGTCACGCCGCAATCCCTTCTCCTCCATTCTCCTCTCGGGATCTTGGACACGCACGCACACGCGCCCAGAATTATTTCATGGAACTTTATTTGCTTATTTATTTTAATTTGACCAGAGAGGGACAGAGTGGGGAGGGGGAGTGAGAAAGTAAACCAACAGTTCTGGGACTCAAACCACAGTCTGGCTATATGGGAGTCCAGAGGCCTTAACCACCACACCACCTGCCAGTCCTGAAACTAGCCTTTTTGTCTTGAACACTGAGAACGGGGTGGTGAAGGAAGATGTAATGACTTCCAGTTCAGTTGGATGCATTGCCTTGATTCAGGCTAAGAACAGTTTTACTCAATTGCTAATACAACAAAACAGGCAAATGGTCCCTTTTTTTTTTATTGCCACAGGGCAAGTGCATTCACTAGAGAGAGACAGGGAGAGGGAGAAAGCATCCCATTATGGGGCATGGTTGTGCTGCAGTTTCTTCATCTTTTTGGGACTTTGGGCACACACACAAGTCCTGTGTGCTTTTCTTTCTTTCCTTCTTTCACAAGAGGGCACATCTGCTTGCCAGAGAGATGGAGAGAGAGCGGGATTTCTTATTTATTTTAATTTGATAAGAGAGAGAGAGAAAGCAAGAAAGCAAGCTGCCAGGTCTGGGACTCAAACCACAGTCGGTCATGTGGAATTCCAGCACTCTTTTTAATTTTATTTATTTTAACTTGACCAGAGGAGGGACAGAATGTGAGAGAGGGAAAATGAGAAAGCAAGCCGCCAGGTCCAGGACTTGAACCACAGTTGGCCATGTGGGAGTCCAGTACCCTTAACCACCATGCCACCTGCTAGCCCCTAGGATTCCAGCGTTCTTAACTGCCATGCCACCTGTTGGGACCCCCTCCCCCCGGGGTAAATACTTTAATACTGGGGCAAGCAGCTGGCGTCCACATTGGACTCCCACATGGCTGACTGCGGTTTGAGTCCTGGACCTGGCAGCTTGCTTTCTCACTTTCTCACTCTCGCTCTCGCTCTGTCCATCTCTGGTCAAACTAAAAATAAACAAATGAAGTTAAATAAAATAAAATCTTAAAAAAAACTTAATGCTAAATTATCTTAGTAGAGCTTAGTATTTTTATTTATTTATTTATTTTTGAGATTTTTCGCTATAGGGCGCGCGCGCTTGCCAGACAGACAGAGAGAGAGAGAGAGACAGAGAGACAGAAAGCGAGAAATCACCCCCCAGGGGGGGATGGTCACGCCACAATCCCTTCTCCTCCGTTCTCCTCTCGGGATCTTGGGCACACACGCACACACGCCCAGTATGAGTTTTAAGCCACCGGGTCTGGGACGCGAACCGTAGTCGACTACGTGGGAGTCCAGCGACATAGCCATTACGCTAACTGCTGGTTCCCGAACTATCTACATCTTGTACTTTATTTTTAAAATTTTTCCAGAGGTTACTTGTGCTCATAAGAGAGAGGAGAGGGGGACCAGCCAGTGGCACAATGGTTAAGGCACTGGACACTCCCACATGGCCGACCATGGTTCAAGTCTCAGACCTGGTGGCTTACTTTCTCACTTTCCTTCTCTCTCTCTGGTCAAACTAAAATAAACGGTTGAGTAAAGAGAGAGGAAAGGAAGTACCCCTTATGGGGAGTGGTCAATGTTGTAATCCCTTCTTAATTTCTCTGTCTTGTTAGGATTTTTTTTTAAGAGGTTTTTTTTTTTTTGCTATAGGGCACATATGCTTGCTAGAGAGGGAGAAATCACCCCCCAGGGGGATAGCCATGCTGCGTAATCCCTTCTTCCTTCTCTCAGGATTTTGGGCATGTGCACACTTGCGCCCAGCGTGAGTTTTAAGCCTCTGGGTTCAGGACTTGAACTGCAGTTGATTACGTGTGGGAGTCCAGTGATGTAATTGTTACACCATTTACTGGTCCTGGGATTTTTTTTTTTTTTTTTCAAAAGAGGTTTTGCTGTAGGGTACTTGTGCTCACCAGATAGAGAGAGAGAGACAGAGATAATGAGAGGGAAAGTGAGAAATCGGCCCCTGGGGGATGCCACATAGCAATCCCTTTTCCAATCTCCTGGAATTTTGTGTATGGGCTCACACACCCAGCGTGATTTTCTTTTTCTTTTCTTTCTTTCTTTTTTTTTTTAAAAAGAATTATTTAACTTTATTTATTTTAATTTGATCAGGTAGAGAGGGAGAGAGAGCATGCATGCGAAAGAGAAAGTGAGAAAGCAAGCCCTCAGATCTGGGACTAGGTTGGCCATGTGGGAATCCAGTGCCACCACGCCACCTGCTGGCCCCATCCCAGCATGATTTTCAAGTCCAGGACTCAAATCACAGTAGGCCATGTGAAAGAACAGTGATGTAATAACTATGACACCTGCTGGCCCCCTTGGGATTTTGGCCACACCTGTACATGCGACCAGCATGTTTCTCAAGTCGCTGAGTCTGGGACTCGAACCATAATATCAGCCATGTGGGATCTGGCTGCCTTAACCACCAGACCATGGAGCTGGTCTGCTTTTACTCTTCTTTTTTTTTTTTTTTTTTAAGAGTTATCTTATTTAACTTTATTTATTTATTTATTTGTAATTTTACCAGAGAGAGAGGGAGGAAGGGAGAGAGAGAAAGAGAGAAAGAAAGAGAGAGGGAGGAAGGAAGCAAGCTGCCAGATCCGGGACTTGAACTGTGGTCAACCATGTAGGAGTCCAGTGCCCTCAACCACCACACCACCTGCTGGCCTCACTTTCTTCTTTTTAAAAAAAAATTCTATTAGTATTTTATTTTATTCTATTATTTTATTTGTTATTCTATTATATTATTCTGTCCTATTTATTTTCTCTTTTTTTGAGATTATTTTTGCTATAAGGTGCGTGTGCTTGCTGTAGAGACAGAGAGACAGAAAGTGAGAAATCCCCTCCCAAGGGGGATGACCATGCTGCAGTTCCCTAGGAGATTTTGGGCACACATGCATATGCGCTCAATATCAGTTTAAGCTGCTGGGTCTGGGACTTGAACTGCAGTCGACTATGTGGGTATCCAACAATGTAACCATTACGCCATCTGCTGGTCCCTTATTTATTTATTTTTAATTTGCTATAGGGCACGCATGTGACAGTGCAAGAGTGAGCAAGCAAGCTGCCAGGTCTGGGACTTGAACCATGGTTGGCCCTATGGGATTGCAGCATTTTAATTACCATGCCACCTGCTGCTCCTGCCCTTCAGCTTTTACTTTCATTGTCTTATTTATGCCCACCACAACCCTGTAAGGTAAATACATTTATTATTCCTGTCTTACAGAAAGGCTAAGTGTCTCACACAAGGTGACAAGCTAAGGTCAGAGGTAGGACTCAAACCAGCTTCCAGCGACCACGCTTTCCCTGGTACCTTTGCGTGATTAAATGCACCCAAGCTGGCTATTTTCTGCTATGGGGGATGCAACAGACAGATATTACCTCTAGGGAGAATGTACAGGGGTGGTGGGCAGGACACCCTGGTGGCTGCATTTGAGTCCTTTGCCCTGACCTCTGCCCTTTGCCCTGGCAGGATGACTGCTCGGGACCAGCTGGTGCAGCAGGTGCTGCAGGAGCTGCAGGAGGCAGTGGAGTCTGAGGGCCTGGAGGGTCTTGTTAGCGCCGCCCTGGAGGCCAAGCAGGTTCTGTCTTCCTTCCCCCTCCCCACCTGTCGGCAGAGGAGTCCGGACCTTCAGGTGCTGGAGGTGGACTCGGTGGCCTTGAGCTTGTACCCAGAGGATGCTCCAAGGAACATGCTGCCGCTGGTGTGTGAAGGCCAGGGCAGCCTGCTGTTCGAGGCGGTCAGCGTGCTGCTGTGGGGCGACCCGGGCCTCAGCCTGGAGCTGCGGGCCCGCACCGTGGTGGAGATGCTGCTGCACAGACACTACTACCTCCAGGGCATGATCGACTCCAAGGTGATGCTGCAGGCCGTGCGCTACTCCCTGTGCTCGGAGGAGTCCCCCGAGATGACCAGCCTGCCATCCACCACGCTGGAGGCCATCTTTGACGCAGACGTCAAGGCCACCTGCTTCCCCAACAGCTTCTCCAACGTGTGGCACTTGTACGCCCTCGCCTCGGTGCTTCGGCGAAACATCTACTCCATCTACCCCATGCGCAACCTCAAGATCCGGCCCTACTTTAACCGCGTCATCCGGCCCCGCCGCTGTGACCACATGCCATCCACACTGCACATCATGTGGGCCGGCCAGCCCCTCGGCAGCCCCCTCTTCCCCCACCA